TCCTTAGCATTCATAACTTTTGCTCCGTCACCATACCTCCACATATGGAGAGAATCTTTATTTTAACACATTAAGGTTGAATGAATTTGTTTGGATATAAATTATTTTTTTATTTTTTTGTATTTGGTTATTATAAAATATTTATTATTTATGAAGAAAAAAAATATTAGACTCTAACAAAATTAACTTACTAATCAATCTTGGAGAAGTTATTTTATATATTTTGTTGGATGTACTAGATCTCAAGATTAAATTAGACCTTTGTCAAATATAGAAAGATAAAAATATATTTTTTACTTAAAAAAAAAGAGTTAATTACACTCACACTCCCTGAGGTTTGATATATTGACAGCCAGATGAAAGTTAGTCATTTTTTGGACATTGACACCCCTTATAATTTTTTTCCTTTAAAAAACATGCGAAATGTCTATATAACCCTTTATTATTTAATTCATTAAAATATCAGAAGTGCAAAATGACCAAAATGCCCATTATAATTATTTTTTATTATTTAATTCATTTTACTACTTTCTCTCTCCAACCTGTCACCTAATGGAGGCTCTGTTTGCATCCCACGATGAGCTTGAGGGGATCTAACCGCAGACGCCGAGTCCTGTGAGCCAACATAAAAGAACATGTCGAACTTGGAGATCTAAGCACCAGAGTGATGACTGAGTTGCCAGAGCAAGCCGTGTTGAAGTGTAGAGTCGATGAAGATGTGGAATCGCGGACCATGAGGCTGTACAATAATGGCGACTCTTTGATTTGAGAAGAAATGAGAGCGAGCCGCCGCCGATTCTGAAGGCCGGGGATACAAATCTGAGTTGCTCACCACCGATTACAATATTGTGTGTCAATGCAAAACCGTAGGCAAAATCATTGATTTGATGAGTTTTATTATTATTAATTTTTTTTTTTTTATTGAGTTGGATTTGACTGGTTTCTAGGGATATGAAGCTTTCTCATCGGAGATTCTCTTTGTAAGCTCAGATCTCATTCTCTCTTTCTCCTCTTATATATATTTATGATCAGTGTGTATTGATTTATTTATGTGTATATATTGTATTGGGTTTAACTATACTCTCTTTGTCCTCTTATATATATATATATATATATATATATATATATATATATATATAGATGATCAGTGTGTGTTGAATTATTTATGTATATATTGTTTTGGGTTTCAATTAAATTCTTCTTATTTTGTCTCTACTCAAACTTTTTGATGTTTAATTTGCAGCTTGGACAGCCCAACAAGAGGTGCTGTAAGTTTATAGGGCAATTTGTTAGTAGTATTGGTTAATTTGATTGATTCATTCATTGATTGATTACGTTTGAAAGGTTTCAGTTTCAAGAGATTTTGATTTTGATCAAGTGTTGATCTTTAGTAAGTTGATAATCTGAGTTGTTGTGTGTTGTTTTTGGGTTTGAACCTTCAAAGATTCTCTAACATTAGTTTCGATGGATAGTGGTGATAATTGCCAGTGCTTTGTATATGTATATATATATATATATATCTTTTTTGTTTTTGTGGTGAAAGACTGTGATGGTGGTGGCGTCGTCTATAGTGGTAGAGGTGGAGATAGAGAGAGGGTGGACAGTTTCGTGTAGAGAGTGAAAGGGGAGACAAGACGAGGGTTAGTTTGGTCCAATAAAATGACATATAAAAGTCAAAAGGGTAATATTGTCAATTCACTATGTGATAAGTGACTATTGGGTGTCTTTGTTAATTTTATCAAACTTGAAGGGGTGTTATTGTTTAAAAAGAGGTAAACTTTCATCTGGCTGTTAATAAGGCAAACCTCATGGAGTGTGATTGTAATTAACCCGAAAAAAAATATGTACTATACACACAAACAAACGCTACCTAAATCCTTTTTTTTTTCTTTTTTTTCCCCTATCCAAGATAAATAACAACAAAACACAGTAAAACAAAATCCAAGTTAGAGCCGCTCCAATGGTGTAAAATTTGAAGATTCTGGGCTGAATTTGAAGATTGGGCTGCTCCATTGGACTCTTCATAAAGTGGGCCCCATTAAAACAATCTTGATCCAACTCTCTAAAAATCAAGATTGGTTTGGAGAATTGCGGGCCTGACATGCGGACCCGCATCAGTTTTCTTTTTTTTTTTAAATTCAGGACCAAACAGTGTTTTAGCCCAAAACACTGTTTTGTGAGGGCTGTTTGGTTGGGAAAAAAAAAAAAAGGAAAAATAGTTTTTTGCCTGATTTTGGTCTTTTGTTTTTTCTTTTTTTTTTCCTTAGAATAATTAAACCAAAGAGCCATTAAGGCACTGTTTGGTTGACACAAACAATGCTTTAAAGGCTTTTTTGAGCAAAAAAAAGTTTTAAAAAAAAGGTAGATAAAAGTGCTTTTTTTTATAAAAAAAAATTACTTTTTAAAATATTTCTACTGACATATAGCTGTTAAGGCACTGTTTGGGATAAAAAAAAATTACTTTTTAAAATATTTCTACTGACATATAGCTGTTAAGGCACTGTTTGGGTGACCCAAACAATGTCTTAACGGCTATATTGGCATAAAAACTTATTTTTTGAATTTTTTTTTTGAAAAAAATCATTATATAGATATATTTATTTAAAAAAAAAAACCTTTCATTTTTCTTCTATAAATACATCAACCCCTACTATTATTCACCTCGTATCCAACCCATCTTCTCTAGTTTTCAACCTACAACTACAACCACTAAGTCATTTTTTCAATCTTTTAGTTATATTTTTTACTCCAATTTAATTCCATGGATCCTTCACCACCATATTACAACTACAATTCCCAATTCAACTAATCACATTATAATTTTGATCCCTTCTTATTTGTTGGAGAAGAATCTCAATTTGTTAAAGAAGTATCTCAATTTCTGTCTCATCAACCTTCTCAAGTTTCCAACATTCCTACTGAAGTGCCACAATCCAGTAACTCCCAACCTCCCAGAAAGCAAAGGGCTATTCGGCCTCCTAATTGGTCCACGGTTGAAGATGAGGCTTTTTATTATGCGTGGATGGCCATTAGCACTGATGCGGTCATCGGTTCAGACCAACAAAAGGCCGCGTTATGGATCCAAATTCAAGAAAGTTTTGAGCAACACATTAGTGGTGCTGGTACACCTAAAAGAAATCATATCATCTGCTTGAATCGTTGGTCCATCATGCAACAAATGATTACCAAATTTTCTGGATACATGGCCCAAATCGAAAGGAATTACCCAAGTGGGCAAGACAATGAGTACAAGGTAAGTTATTTATTATATTAAATTTAATTGGTAGATATTTTAAAGTTTTGTCTTCTAATAATTCATCATTCTTATTTTTTAGATGACAGCAGCGAAAGAGTTGTTTGCTCGTCAAAATAACACCAAATTTAAGTTTGACAGTTATTGGAACATTTTGAAGAGCAACAATAAGTGGCATTTACATTGTCAAAAAGAATTAACATAAAAAAATAAAAAAAAATAAAAAAAATAAAAAATAAAATAAAAAACAGCCGAAGAAGAGGAGTGGAATCCACATTGATGATAGTGAGCCTATTGGTCACTCAAACCCATCTACTCCATTAAGTAATGCAGCAACAACACCAAGTTTGGTTGAAGGATCTGCGCACATAGGCGAAAATGATCTGACGGATTTTGAAGAATGTCAGCGACCAGAAGGATGAAAAGCAGCGAAGCAGAGGCGAAATAAGGATAAAAGACAATTTGAAAGTCATAATGATTTCATTAGCAAATTCGATCATGCAACAGCCCTTTATTAAAGACAATTTGAAACTCTTGAGGCCGCTTAAATAGCACAAGAGGCACGCAAAACAGATAAAGAAAAAACCAAACAACTCGAGCTTCAAAGCAAACTAAGAGGATTGAAAATAAACAAAGAGCTGAAGAGATGTTAATCATGCAAAAAGATCCAGAATCGATGCCAACACAAACCGGGAAAGCATGACTAATTGAATGCCAAAATGAAATATTGGCATCTATACACGCACGTGGCAACTCAAGCTTTCCATAAGATTATTTCAAGCATTCCATATGATTGTTCTGTTTTTTCTAGTTGGTTTATGTTTTTAATTCAAGTCGTATTGTATTGTTTTTTTATTTTAATTGTATTGTTTAAATTTATATCGTATCGTATTATTGTTAATAATAAATATTGTATTGTTTTATTTTTTTTTTTATGACATAGCCGTTTTAAAAATAGAGTGTTAAGAAAAAGTTAAAAAATAAAATTTATTAAAAATTTAAAAAATAATAAAATATTAATATTTTTAGAGATAGAAAATGTACAATTAAAGTACATTCCATAGTTAAAATTTAGAAATGGTAAAATGTGATGTGGTTATAGAAAATATTGAGCTGACTATTAAAAAATATTAATATGATAAATTCGAAAAGCCTAAATTCGGATAGGCGATACCATCCTGCAATGTTGAAAAATCAATAACCTTTCCATCCAAGTTACTAATGGGCCCACAATAACGGTTCTATCAATCACCATAAAGCCCAATTAAAGAATCCTGGAGATCGAACAAAAAAAATAAGTATATCCCATACGTGTCTTTTACTTACTGAACATGGCACTATCTCACCGTCAAATCAATCACAGATCCGCCACGTGTCACCCACCTCACCTTTCTCTAGTGGACGTCAAAGCAACCATAGAAAACAAACCGACGAAGTCACAACTTGTCTTAACTCTTAAGCATAAAGAGCCGGACACGTGACTACTCACTTTCCGCCACCTGTCCCCACTCCTTTTACTAAACTTTAAAAACATCTGAGCGCGTACTTACTGGAACCTTCACGCGCAGTGCCGATCTCGCCGTCCATCTTCACGTGAAGCTCCATTAATCGTAGCCGTTGCCTCAGTAACCGCGTTCAGTCCGACACGTGTGGGCCTCGACACGTGGCAATAGATTAACCGCTAAAAAATGATTATTTTAATCCTTATCTAGATCTGGATAGTCTATAAATAGACGAGCTCTGCTCGCCTCTCATCTTTTATCAGCACTCACATTTAAATTCAAACCTCGTGAAAGCAACGAAGACCTCAACCATACTGCGAACAACTTTCTCTCTCTAGATCTTCACGCCTTTTCTCTCTCTAGAGATATAGTTCTTTGATTTGATTTGAATTTGTGAAATTCGTACGGACATGGCGATGAGTTTACCGCATCAAATCGGAGCTATATCGGGGACGTCGATTCCGATCGAATCAGGTAGTTCTTCCTGCGAGTCGCCGGTGGCGACTGTGAATGCGTCGGCGGTGTGGAGGTCACCAACGGCGAGCCTACGGGTCGGATTGCAGAGGCAGGGGATCGAGACGGACCGGATATCGCCGTCTCCGCCGTTGAGTCCGAGAATCGGCGGAATCCGGCCGGATCTGTCGGTGGCGTGCCAGGCGTTGATGGAAGCGTCGCCGTCGGTGGCGGAGAGGGCGGAGGATGAGATGGTGAGGGAGTATAAGGAGGGAGTTAGGGGTGCGCAGGTGAAGGGGAACGGAGTGCCGGTTTTTGTGATGATGCCGCTGGACAGCGTCACGATGGGGAACACGGTGAACCGGAGGAAGGCGATGAACGCTAGCCTGCAGGCGCTAAAGAGTGCCGGGGTGGAAGGGATCATGATGGATGTGTGGTGGGGACTGGTGGAGAGAGATTCACCGGGATCGTATAATTGGGGTGGATATGCAGAACTATTGGAGATGGCGAAGAAGCATGGCCTCAAAGTTCAGGCTGTCATGTCCTTCCATCAATGTGGCGGAAACGTAGGCGACTCTTGCACGTGAGTATATTTTAACCCCTTCCTTTTTATCTTACTCATTCTTTTATATTAAATAATCTCAGTGAATTAGTTTATAGGAAGATTCCTTTTACCATCTTTGATTTTTATTTCTATGATGTCATATTTAGTATATTTTTTTACTTATCAAAAAACATTAATTATATTGTAGGAATTTGAAGTTGATTTATTTTAAGATCCATAAACTCTGAAGGTTGAGAGAGAACTGAGTACCTGTGTCTAATATAGTAAGGAAGAATGAAATTTTCTTTGGAATAATTAAAATAAAAATGCACTTATTATAATGTTTAAAAATCTAAACTTGGATATTGAGGGAATTTATTAAGGACTGTTTAATTTTGAGGCCTTGGCAAATATATCAGCTGTGCATGAATCTATTAAAGTTGATGAACAAACTGCTGGTCAGGTGTATATTATCTTTGTATTGTTGTAGTTTCTGAAAAATATTGCATGAATATGCCGGAAAGAAGCTTGATTTCCGTTTGCGCAGGCTTGTATAAAATTGTTGATAAATAAAATTGTAAATCATAAAGCAAGAAATTCTTATAAACAGGCTTGCTGTGCCATTCTTCTTGATAGTATAGTGGCCTTAATATGCAGGATCCCTCTACCTAAATGGGTTGGGGAAGAGATAAACAAAGACCCTGACCTTGCATATACAGATCAATGGGGGAGGAGGAATCATGAATATATTTCACTTGGCTGCGATACTGTTCCAGTCCTGAAGGGGCGAACACCCGTTCAGTGTTATGCTGATTTCATGCGTGCTTTCAGAGACAAATTTGAGCACCTCTTTGGTGACACCATTGTGGTAATCACTCTATTCTTCTTAATATAAATGGAAAAGTGGTTTTTAGTGCTTTTGGATTTCTGACATGGTCAGGCTTTGGTTACTGCTTTTGGAATCTTTAATTTAGGTTATCCTTTAGGATTGTTTGCTAAACTGTTTTGAATTTGTTCTGTTTAGGAAATCCAAGTTGGAATGGGTCCAGCTGGTGAGCTTCGTTATCCGTCATACCCAGAACAAAATGGAACGTGGAAATTCCCTGGAATCGGAGCCTTTCAGTGTTATGACAAGGTATCTTGCTGCTTTTTTCATGTCTTCTTTCTCTTGTTTAGATCACTCTTTCTTTTGCATTTGTGGTTCTAATGTGATGTCCTGATTCTCACATGATCTCTCTTGCATGTTGCAGTACATGATCAGCAGTTTAAAAGCTGCAGCAGAAGCTTCTGGTAAGCCAGAATGGGGTAGCACTGGCCCTACAGATGCTGGCCACTACAACAACTGGCCCGAAGACACCAACTTTTTTCGAAGGGAGGGTGGCGGTTGGGATGGCCCCTATGGCGAATTCTTCCTGACCTGGTATTCTCAAATGCTTCTAGACCACTGCGAGAGAATATTATCATCGGCTAAGGCCACCTTTGAGAATACAGGTGTCAAAATCTCAGTTAAGGTTGCAGGAATCCACTGGCATTATGGAACCCGCTCCCACGCCCCTGAGCTCACAGCAGGTTACTACAACACCCGTTTCCGAGATGGATACCTTCCCATTGCCCAGACATTAGCCCGTCATGGAGCTATCTTTAATTTCACTTGCATTGAGATGCGAGACCACGAGCAGCCACAGGATGCCCAATGTGCACCTGAGAAACTCGTGCGGCAAGTGGCTTTGGCTACCCAGAAAGCTCGAGTCCCCCTTGCCGGAGAAAACGCATTGCCACGATATGATGACTACGCTCATGAGCAAATATTGAACGCAGCAGCGTTGAATCTTGATGGTAGTGAAGAAGATAGGGAAATGTGTGCCTTCACGTATTTGAGGATGAACCCAGATTTATTCCAACCGGATAACTGGAGACGGTTTGTGGCATTTGTGAAGAAGATGAAGGAAGGAAAGGGTACGAACCGATGTTGGGAGCAAGTGGAGCGGGAGGCAGAGCATTTTGTGCATGTGACTCAGCCATTAGTACAGGAAGCTGCAGTTGCTCTTATGCATTAAAATTTTAGTTGTTATACTGACTTAGGACAGTAATTCTCAGAAGGATTATGTCAATAGCAGTATGTAACAGTTGGGTCTCTGCCCCTTCTCAACAGATATTATGTTTTGTATTAATGTACTATCTTATAAAAATTAGGGATTTTTGGGACATGTTAGTTCCAAAAAAACTTGTACTTTAAACAGGATAATACATAAATGCTTTGTGTTTTAGTATCTCTCTCTATTTCATGTTTGTGGACAATGGTTATTATTTATTCTTTTGTGTTTTTTAGGCAATTCAGATATTTGTGGCGATGGAAGAATCAAAACTGATAAGATGCTTGTGTTTTGCTTGCGGCAGCATTGCTATATTGATCTTGTGAGGTCCAGTTTGGATACACACTACAACTTGGACCTCCTTTTCTCCTTTTAATTACTACCAACCAACATTTCTTCATGTGAAAGTTTGGTGTAGAAAAGCGCTTCCTCGTGAAATTTATTTTTTTAAATGATAAAGCAAACGCATACCAAGCTCCTTTTTTTCTCTTTAAAGATGAGTAGGTTATCATATATATATATATATATATATATATATATATATATATATTTTAAAGTATTTTCAAGTCATGTTCTATAATGTATGTTATGTCATTACCATCATAATTGAAGGCTGACTATTTTGGATAGTGAATCGGTGGCATGGGTTAGGCTGGTATATATATATATATATATATATATATATATATATATATTTTAAAGTATTTTGTCATTACCATCATAATTCACCATCATAGTGAATCGGTGGCATGGGTTAGCCTGGCTTACTTGTTGATGTCACCATAGTCATGGGTTTAATTAGATGTGTGTTGTGATTTTGAATAATTACTATATATAGTGAGATACCACATTAAGAGAGTATGTATGGTGGATTTATAATGTATGAAGATACAGTCCTTTTCGTAGTAGGCCACAAAACTACCACCCATGCAGTCGCAGTCGCAGTCGCAGGTCAAAAGGCCAAAAATAACACGTTTAACACCTCCAATCAATGCCATGTGTCGACTTAGCAACAGTGTCCATTTTGGCTCTTTTTTGATCGAGAGAGACTGACACGCACTATAAATACATCTCACAAGTTGTAAAAACATTCAATCGGATCACGAGTTTTGTGTTTTAGCAACAAAGATTAAAACTTACGTTTCAAAAAAAAACGAAGATTAAAACTTTTGCTGAACATTTGAGATCGTGAATCACAAGAAAAAGGAAGGGTTACAGAGTCACATTTTAGTAATTTTCTGTTCAATTCAGGCCAATCCCGTGCCAAGGTCGGGCAACTGGGCAAAGTCACTTTAATCAGATAATTGATATATATATATATATATATATATATATGAGTATATATATATTGCAAATTTACAACATGACCCCTTTTATGCATTTAAATTTTAGACATAAATTAATTCAACCAAAATGAAAGACTCCTAAATTAATGTAAAATAATAGTTAGTGAATATGCGAAAACATTACTCCAATGAGATGGTTTAATATAAAAATTCCCCCTTCACGTTTTAAAATTGAGAGTACGAATTTATTTGAGGCCACTTTAAAAATCTATCTATCTATATATATATATATATATATATATATATATATATTCAATGATTTTTCAGTGTATATGAAACGGTGGAAGTGCAAGTGTCCAATAATAAATTATAAATACTCCCCCCTCTACTTATAATCTTTTCCAATAAACCCCCTTATCTATTTTTTTATTAAAAAACCCTCTTCGTCTTGTAACATTTTTTTAATAAATTCACCTTATCTAATTTTTTACCAAAGAACTTACCTCAACTATCTGAAAGGGGTAAAAGATTTGATATTTCCACCAAAATGCCCTTTTATTTAAATCTTAATTCTTTCGAATTTCAAAAATTCATATCTCACAAACTGTATATTTAAAAATTGTAAATAATATATGCACGGAAAACTTATGACATAAGGATTCCAGAAATATAAGATTTGTACAACAAACCTTCATAACCAGAGAGAAATAGGCAATCTAAAAATCTACTCCAACAATCTTATTTTATTTTTAAATAAAATACTCGAGATATTTGTAAAAAAAATTTCAGAACTATTCATTTTCATATGGAGCCAAATATATATAAAAAAATTGCCCCAACAGAGATCAATTTCATGAGATATCGTATTTTGCGTCAAAGTATTTTCATTCTTTTATAAACTCATCATTTAAAAAATAAATAAAAATGAATATTTAGTCTCTATTGGAGCTAATTTTTTTATATGTTATACTCCATATGAAAATGAATAATTTTGAAAATTTTCTTACAAATAACCCGAGTATTTTATAAAAAATAAAATAAAATAATATTATTGCAGTATATTTTTAGATTGTCTATTTATCTCTGGTTATGAAGTTTCGTTAAAGAAATATTATATTTCTGGAATCCTTATTTTATAAGTTTTCTGTGCATATATTATTTGCAATATTTGGATGTACGGTTTGTGATATATAAATTTTTGAAGTTCGAGAAAATTAAGATTTACATAAAAGGGTATTTTGATTCAAATATTAACTATTTTACCCCCTTAAATAGTTGAGGGGGGTTCTTTGATAAAAAATTAGACAAAGAGGATTTATTGAAAAGAGTTACAAGTCAAGAGGGGTTCTTTGATAAAAAAATTAAATGAGAGGAATTTACTGATTAACGGAGATTTTTTGTACTTTGCTCTAAATAAAAAACATCTACTTCATTAGTCAAAAGTTTCATATAAGAAGACCAATCAACTTCTCTTGTATAATTTATCACGCGCGTATAATTTGTCACGCACTCAAAATTTTCTTGTATAATTTATTAAACACTTGGTATTCTAAAATTAGTCTATATATATATATATATACTATTTTAAATCTATATATATATATCTATACTATTCTAAAAGTGTAAGTTTTTTCTTAACACTCTTAGATTTTTTAAAAATCTAAAAAATTGGAAATATAGTATTTAATATAGAATTTGAAGGGCAAACTTCCCAATTTCAGTTTTTATTCATTCTTTAAAGATGATACACCAATGGACCATTTTAATCATTGTATTAATGGTTGCTTCACTATTCAAATTTCAATTATATTTGAAATTTTAATTAATTTCGGTTTTTATTCATTCTTTAAAGATGATATACATTTTTAGATTTTTTAAAAATTTATGAAATTGGAAAAATTGTATTTAATATAGAATTTGAAGGGGCAACCTTCCCAATTTCAGTTTTTATTCATTCTTTAAAGATGATACACCAATGGACCATTTTAATCATTGTACTAACAGTTGCTTCACTATTCAAATTTCAGTTATATTTGAAATTTTAATTAATTTTAGTTTTTATTTATTCTTTAAAGATGATATCCCTTGATGGATGGATCAAACCAAATTCGACTTTTTTTTTGGTATTTTGTTTTATTGTTTTATACTGACATAATTTATTTAGTCTCTTGTGATTTCAATTTTTTTAAAAAAATATTTCAAATTTTATTCATTCTTTAAAGATGATATCCCTTAAATACTATTCTAAAAGTGTAAGTAATTTCTTGACACTTTTAGACTTTTTAAAAATCTAAAAAATTGAAAAAATAGTATTTAATATAGAATTTGAAGGGCAACCTTCCCATTTTCATTTTTTATTCATTCTTTAAGGATGATACACCAATGGACCATTTTAATCATTGTACTAATGGTTGCTTCACTATTCAAATTTCAGTTATATTTGAAATTTTAATTAATTTCGGTTTTTATTCATTCCTTAAAGATGATATACAGTTTTAGATTTTTTCAAAATCTATGAAATTGGAAAAATTGTATTTAATATAGAATTTGAAGGGGCAACCTTTCCAATTTCAGTTTTTATTCATTCTTTAAAGATGATACACCAATAGACCATTTTAATCATTATACTAACGGTTGCTTCACTATTCAAATTTCAGTTATATTTGAAATTTTAATTAATTTCAGTTTTTATTCATTCTTTAAAGATGATATCGCTTAATGGGTGGACCAAACCAAATTCGAATTTTTTTTTGGTATTTTGTTTTATTGTTTTATACTGACATAATTTATTTAGTCTCTTGTTGTAATACCCCGTAATTTTAAAGAGTTTATTTAAATTAATTTTGTATTAGGTTAATTCTTTAATGTGTAGATTTATTCACCTTTTAATTATATATGTTAAATTATTTAATTAATTTTATTTATTTGTGCATGTAATACTGATTTTATGTTCTATATATTATAATGATTAGTTTAGAAATTTTATTGGTTATGTTTTAGATTAATTAATATTAGTTAATTAAAGTATTTAATTTGTATTGTATAATAATAATAATAATAATAATAATAATAATAATAATAAAACAATGTCATAATGTAAAGTTAATATTAGGATAGAATTTCATTTACTATGGTAGAATGGTAGATCAAATAACTTGACTAAGATTGCATTGCCTTAAAGCCATATAAGTGGGAATGTTGAAAGTTAATGTTTAGGTTAGATATTTGTATTATATATATTATATAAATTAGTATATATTAGTTAGTTAGTTATAATTTGAAAGAAAACTCACGTAAGTAGAAGAGCAAAATAACAGTGAGCAATTGTTGAAGAGTGAAAGGAAGAGAGAGAAAGAAAGGAGCTTGGACCTGTGTAGGGAATTTACCCAACTACGCGCAGGCCGGCGGATTTATTTTAAATCCATAAGGCAAGTTATTATCTACTTTTCCCCTTTGAATCCATAAATTATTCATTTAATTTATTTCGGCTTTTTAGAGACTAGAAACCATGCTAGGAATTTCAATAAATTAATTTTTAGTTTATTAAAGTAATGAGATTTTAATTATTTAAGGTGTTAGATAATTATTTATTAGCCTATGTAATTAAAATATAGCTAAAAATAATTATTTAAGGCTTTAGGGATTTTTTTAGAATTTTCTAAGACTTTTCGGGAATTTTCTGTAAATTCCGGCGAGACTCCGGCGAGGTTTCCGGCCACCGGCAGTGAGGAAGGTGACCGGAGTGATCCGGCGTGATACAGCACACAAGGGTTACTATGCGCGTGCATCAGCAGCCGTTAGATTTAATAGCAATCAGTAGATCAATTGCATGTAACGCAGAACATTGTATATCGATGTACACGCATCAACAGCCGTAGGATTAATTTAGGA